TCTCCAGATCAGAACTAGTGACATGTTGACTGAGCTCTTCCAGGTGTTTGACTGTGCAAACTAACAAATGATGGACTAATATTACTCATTCAAAATTATGCAGCGGTAAATTCATGCCAATCAAATAGCTTTTCTATTAGAAGAGAAAATGGGAATTGATTCTAAAGTTTTACTTATTAAAGACCCTCTCCTGCAAACTGATCCATGTGACAGACTCTTATGACAACATGAAGGCCCTAAATCAATGCGGCTCTGCTCAGTGATCTGCTAATGCAGATCAGCTTTTGGAATTGGGGCCTGAATTAACACAGCTGGAATACGGTTGGTATTTATTTAATCGATGACAGTACTGAATATAGACATAGCTGGCATTCTTTTCCCTTACCTACTCTCAGAAAATATATGTCACATCTATGCTTGATATAGGTCCTAGGATTTACCAGAAAATATTTGATTTGGGGTTGTCTCCCATCCCCCATTCAATGTATTTAAACAAATTTAAATATATGTTTATAAATCAACTTCATTTTAAGAAAGTAAGTGAATTTTAATTAAATAGGCAATTTGTTTTTAACTCTTTAAATTTTGAAGACATGAATATACCAAGATATTTAACACTCAACTACTACTATTACTGTTCTCTTAGCTTCTCATTTACATTGGATTTGTCTTTAGCATCTGTTAAAGTCTACACTGTATTGTTTAGGTGTTAGCTAATAAAGTCTACACTAAAATATTAGAATGTCATGTGTGCTAAACTGATAGAGTTGAATCAGGGGAGGAACCTAGCTTCAACCCTTCAGTCTACACTGCCTTGTCTGCACTAGACTTTTAGAACATGTTAAGTATTCGCAAACACTTATCAATACACTTTTAAATCCTAACAAAGAAAAACCCATTGAGTGATACAACTGTTACATAAATGAAGTGTATAATACTGGTGTATAACGAAGCATGAGTTAAATGGACTAAGAACTATCTGACAGATGTAAAAAAGCAGGTATCAATGGGGAATCATCACTGAATAGGGGTATCTCTAGTAGGGTTCTAAAGGGATCAGTACTACACCTGACACTATTCAACATTTTTATCAATGATCTGGAAGTAAATATAAAATCACTTCCAATAAATTTGTGAATGACAGACTGACAGAACGGTAAATAATAATGAGACCTACAGAGCAATTTGCATCGCTTAGTAAGCTGGGTCCATTCAAACAAAACATGTTTTAATACACCCAAACATTAGGTCATACATCTACAGGGAAAAAATGCAGGCCATACCTACAGAATAGATGACTATGTCCTGGAAAACAGTGATTCTGAAAAAGAATTAGGGGTCACAGTGGACAAGCAACTCAACATGAGCTCCCACTGAAGAGTGATGCTGTGGCAAAAAGAACAAATGCAATCTTTAGATATACAAGTGGAGTAGTAAGTAGGAGTAAGGAAGCAATTTATGTCTGTCTATTATCAGAGGGGTAGCCGTGTTTGGCTGTATTCACAGAAACAACGAGGAATCCGGTGGCAGCATAAAGACTAACAGATTTATTTCAGCATAAGCTTTCGTGGGTAAAAAACCCACTTCTTCAGATTCAGGTTTTTTTACCCATGAAAGCTTATGCCCAAATAAATCCATTAGCCTTTAAAGTGCCACCGAACTCCTTGGGGTTTTTATGCCTGTCTATGGCATCACTGAGACCAATACTAGAATACTGCGTACATTTCTGGTGTGCATATTTTAAAAAGGACCTTGAAAAATTGGAGTGGGTGCAGACAAGAGGCACAACAATAATTTGATGGCTGGAGAAAATGCCTTAAACGTGAGACTTAAAGAGCTCAATGTATTCAGTTTATCATAAAGAAGACAAAGGTGACTTGATTGCAGTATGTAAGTATCTTCACAGGGAAAAAATATGGGGTACTATAGGACTCTTCAGTATTGCAGAGAAAGGCATAACAAGAACCAGTGTCCGGAAGCTAAAGCCAGACAAATTAGAAATAAGGCACATTTAACAAACAAAAACAGTGAGGGTGATTAACCATTAGAACAAACTATCAAGGGAAGTGGTGAATTCTCCTTCTCTTGATATCTTCAAATCAAAACTGGATGTCTTTGTGGAAGATATGCTACCATTAAACAAGATACTGAGCTCAATAAAAGTAGCTGGTTGAAATGTAACAGCCTCTTATGTACAGGAGGCCAGACTAGATGGCCTTAAACTCTATGCATCTATGTACTGGGCTCCTTAGACTCTACCGATCAATATTTAGCCATGTTCCAGACTGCACAGAGCAAAAATCTCTTCATTTAGAAATTACTGAATAGTATAGCCTGTGCTAAGCAGTGGAACTGATATCCAGAGAAAGATAATTCTTACCTCATCTTTTCAATTCTTTCAAATTTGCACCATGTGCTGCAGATTAAAACTATTATTTTTCCCTCTCTACAGCTTACTGAAAATAAAATACTCACACAAAATGCAGATCAGCAGCTGTTTTATGACTTATTAGATGTACTGTATTAGGAAACAGATTCCACTTCAGATTTCATTCTATAGTTTATGTTTTAAACTCTTCCTATTCAGACAATGATCAGTTACCATTTCATCAACCTAAAAATAATGTAACATTCTTTTTTGTAATGTAACTAGTCTTTTAAAGACTGTTTCCCCATCCCCAATATCTGCCTCTGTATTTCCATTTTAAGTACATTTCTACTTTCAGCACAAATCGCCCTAACTCAGCTGTTTATAAAGAAACCTTCCTCTCTACTTAAATGTGAGGTTTCCATATGCAGTACATCATATTCAATCTAGGAGAAAACAAGCATGGAACACCAGGCCAAACTTCACAAAGCTACACTATCAAGCTCTAAGAGTGGAAATATCTGTAGGAAAATTACTACAGCTTTCACATACAACAACAACAAAATTCTTTAATAACTGATTATTTCAGATGTATGAAACTGAGACGATCAAATTTTACTATTTTGTGTATATGCATTATACCATTTCATCTACTGTTATTCATTCCAAACAATATTTAAGTTGCATCTATTCTAGAAAGAGGGCGTGCATGTGACAAAATTATGCCCTTTACTATAAAAAATAAGCCCTAATAGTCTATTCAATAAATCTCTTACCTTGTTCTGGTGATGTCTCATTTATTGCATAAGCTGATCTAACTACATTATACTGGTGTAAGTTTACAAAATGTATAAACTATGCTAAACTATTGTCAAGCAGACACTGGTCTTAATTTTGCATCATGCAATTTTTATTCAAGATCACATTAAGAACTGCACTTTTACAATATCTACCCTCCCAAGTCCAAGGACTAAAAATAATGAGTTTAAAAGCTGAAAATAAAGTGTGAAAAAAAAATCAGCCAGCATTAAGTATTAACCTGATGAGTTTTTCAGATCTGCTGTACTATTTTAAACTACTCTTTCTGGCCATAGGTCAAAGTTTTCCGAATGAAATACCAACATGAAAATGCTGGGAGTGAAGCCCGGAGGCAGCTCTCTTTGCTTTGGCCTAGGTTAAACCCTATCAGAGCCCAGCGAAATCAGTAGCACTATTTCCCACCCTCTCCACCAAGTATCATGGATGACAGTACACCGGCTCTGAGTATCCATGACAGGAATAGCACAACTAGAGGCATGAAAAGAACTTAATACACATTACAGGAGATCCCTGCATCCTCCCCCTCCCTACCCCCCAGCACAGACACACACACACACTGTTCACTCAGTTCCTGTACTTTAGCCAAACAGGACTGAGTCATTTTTGCAAACGACTCCCATGGCCTCTCAGAATAAGTGCCTGCAATGAACAACTCTTGGAACAGAGAAAGAAAAAAAAAATCCAAACTTTTCACTCAGGCTGCAGGCACTAGGACTTCTCTGCCTCAGAACACTATTCTGACAGAGAAGATCTGATGCCTGGTAAAAGCACTGAGACTCCCCCTCACCATCTTTCTAGGGTTTACATGTTTCAAATGAGGAGATCACACTCCCTTTCCACTCCTTGGAGGCATGGGTTTCCCTAGAAAGGAAACAGCACTTCATACTCAAATAAGGAAAAAATGCTATATTACAAAAGGCAGAGAGAAATTTATTCACCCTAACGGGAAATAAGTGTCCCTGTTATATCCCCAAGATACATTTCTTTCCTAGGCGTGTTCTTTTCCTGCACTGTTTCTACATCATGCTCCGGGCAGCAACTCTCATCTTTAACTTCAGAGTAATTGAGTGTGGTTTAGTTTGGGGGCCCCGAGGAGGAGGTGGCACACACCTGGACACTACATGGGGGGAAATGTATTTGCTTCCAATTCTCAAAATAATCTTAGAGTCCATGCTTAATACCAGATTGAGTAAATTAAGTGCAAATAAAGCTAATGGAAAGGAACTCTCTGCCCCCATCCAAAGGCATTTCCCTCATCATCCAAGAAAGGAACCCTCTCAGCCAACCCTCAGCCAGTCAAGCAGGAAGCACTCCACAGCCCCCCACCCCCAACACACATACACAAAGTTCACTGGGGGAGGGGGGAGTAGTTCTCTACCATCCCGCTCCTGCCCAACGCCAGCCAGCCATCAAGAGCACATTTTCACCATCATGGCCTTCCCTCATTATCCCAAGGGGGGATCGCACCAACATCCTCCCAAATTCATTCCAAGGGAGAACACTCACCATCCCTTTCAAAGACATCAAATGAGAGCTCCCCCCAACCCACCCATCGGGAAGTACTCTCTCTCTTCCCATTCTTCCCCCCAACACACACACAACCCCTCAGCCAAGGGGGCTGTGAGTATGCACCCCGCTGAGAGGGGACATCTACCAAAAACCCGTCCACGTTTGAGTGAACCGTTGCCCTCCGAACAAGCCAAGGGGAGCGCTGTTTATCATCCCGCCCAGCCAGTCCGTCCATAGATCGATCCATCCCCGGGAGGGGGAGGCTCCCGCGGCCCCTATTGTGCCTGGGGTGGGTCTAACTCACCAGCAAACTTTCCACATTGACTGGGGACCGAGGGTCTCGGATCATGGACTCCAGCTTCCTCTGGCGGCTCGTGGTCACCCCCTCCCCGGGCTCCAGGGGCGCAGGCGGGGGGGGAGCGGACATCTTCGCTGTCTGAAGCTGGCTCATCCTCCCCCTCCCCGCGGGGCTGTGCGAGCGGCGAGCTGCCGGGCAGGAGGAGATCACTCTGTAGCCGGCCCCGGTCTCTGCTCCGGGGCCTAGCGCTGCGGAGAAGCTGGGGGCTCCCGGCCGGGCCTGGGCCCTGTCTCAGGAGCAGGGCGGGGAGCAGAGGGGACGCTCCCCGACTGGGCGCTGCTGAGGCTGCTCCGCCCCTGGGCACCTCTCAGCTGCAAAGGCATGAACAGCGCGGAGCCGGGGCGGGGGGAGAGAGATTCCCGCGGCGGCCCCGACTCCCCCCCCGCTCAGGACGGCTCTGGGCGGGCACCGAGTCACTGCCGGGTCCCCGGCACCGGCCTGGCCATTGCACCAGCCAAACACCCGCCGCGGCGGAGGGAAAGCGGCGGGCGGCGCTCGAGGCCGGCTCCCCTCCTCTGGCGGCGGCTGGGCGGGAGAAGCGACTCCCGGCGGCGGCGGCGTGAGGCTCGCTGCTGCCCCTCTCTCGCCGTGTCACTCAGTCCATGGGGCGGCCGCCGCCCGCAGCGAGTCACTGTCCCTGCCGCTGCCTCCCGCCACCCCCATTCTCCGGCTCCCGCCCCTCAGCCTGACACCCAGCAGCCGGCCTCCCTTACCCACAAGCCTCCGCTCCGAGCGGCCGGACACGGCGCCCCGCGCAGAGGACACATAGCTCCGCGCTCGCTCATTGCCTAACTATACCCCTCAGCTCAGCTGGCGGGGCGGGGAGTGGCGCCGAGCGGCGGCCCGCCCGGGGACAGCGCTGTGTCACCCCCAAAAGCGGGCACTGAGCAGCTTTCCCGGCCGTCTCCGGCTGCCCTCAGCCCAGCCAAAATAGCAGGGTGACCCGCCCTGTCGTCATCGCCTCCTCCTGAGTCAGCGTGTGAAGAAGGAAGGCGGCGAACCCAGCACGTGGAGGAGTCGGTGAGGGGGGCACAAGCTTCCCATCATCAGTGGTGTGTATATATGTATGTACCAACTGGTCCTATAAAGCCCTAGACATGTTGTATAATAATTGGGTGGTGACTCCAAACCAACTCTCACCCCCCCTCCCCGCAACCCAAGGTGCAGCTCAAGAACCCACTGTGCACCTGGTGCCATCCCTGCAAGGGGTTGACCTGGAGCTGACAGCTCCCAAACTGCATGGATGTTCAGAACCCAAGAGCAGGTGTAGTGGGTCGGACGAATGGTCCGTCTAGCCCAGTATCCTGTTTTCCTACAGTGGCCACTATCAAATGCTTCAGAAGGAATGAACAGAACAGGCAATCATCAAGTGATCCATCCTCTGTCACCCACTTCCAGTTCCTAGCAAACAGGCTAGTGACACTCAGAGCATGCGGTTGCATCCCTGACCATCTTGACTAGTAACCATTGATGGACCTATCTTCTGTGAACTTATCTAATTCTTTTTTTAACTCATACTTTTGGCCTTCACAGTATCCCACCGGAGCAAGTTCCACAGGCCGACCATGTGTTGTGTGAAGAAGTACTTCCTTTTGTTTGTTTTAAACCTGTTGTCTATTAATTTCATCAGGTGACCCTTAGTTCTTGTGTTATGTGAAGTGATAAATAACACTTCCGTATGAATTTGTTCATACCAGTCATGATTTTATAAACCTCTCTCATATCCCCCCTTAGTCATCTCTTTTCTAAAATGAACAGTTTCAATCTTTAATCTCTCCTCATATGGAAGTTCATCCCCAGTGTAGAACTATTCATATGTACAAGAAACTCCAACTAGTACAAAAGGCAGCAGCACATATCCTCAGTAACACAGGCTATTGTGAGTGCATCAAACCTGTCCTCTCTCTATGCTGGCTTCCCATCTAAATTTCAATTAAGTTTAAGGTTTCAGTCCTGATCTTCAAAGCGCTGTGTGGCCTGGGCCCACAATACCTAAATGACTGTTAAAGTTCTGGGAGAGGAGCATGAGCAGGAATTTAAATATGAACACTTTGGGGAGGGCACAGAAACTCGCTGTCTCCCTTTCCCCTCCCCCCAGCCCTGGCAGCCAAACTCCCCTCACCCCCGCCCCTCCTCCCCCTCCGCTGAGCGCACTGCGTCCCCACTCCTCTGCCTATCTCCCAGCGCTTTCCACCCAGCTGCCGCTGCCAAACAGCTGTTTGACAGCTTTAGCACGCTGGGGGGGGGGAGGAGCGGGAACATGGTGCGCTCAGGGGAGGAGGCGGGGCTGGGGTGGGGATTTGGGGAAGGAGTTAGAATAGGGGCAGGGAGGGGGCAGAGTTGGGGCGGGGACTTTGGGAAGGGGTTGGAATGGGGGTGGGGCCTCATGGAAGGGGTGGAGTGGGGCTGGGGCTGGTGGGGGGGGTCGAGCACCCAGGGGAAAGAGGGGAAGTCGGCACCTATGCAGGGCCTGGAGAAGTTCTGTGCCCCCAATGATTACTGAGGGGAGATGCACCTGCTTGCCCCCCAGAGTTATCAACTCTGGTCTTCATCCCACACGCCCCTACTCCGGGATGAAGACCAGAGTTGATAACTTTGTTCATCTGGCACAGTGGAACTGTCAACAATAAGGCTATGGCTACACTAGAGAGCTTACAGAGGCGCAGTTTAACTAATGCAGCTGCACTGCTATAAGCTCTTTGTGCAGCCGCTCTAAACCGACATCAGCTTAATTACTCCAATCCCCGCAAGTGGCAGTAGCTATGTCGGCGGGAAAAGCTGTCCTGCTGACATAGTGCTGTCCACACCGGTGCTTAAATCAGCGTAAGTTATGTCACTCAGTGGGGTGGCTAATTCACACCCCTGAGCGATATAATTTATCTCGACTTAAGCTGTAGTGTAGCCATAGCCTAAGAGTAAATCTCTTCTATGTGAGAGACAGAACCTTCTCCAGAGTTAATCTGAGATTGTGGAATGAACTTCCTTAGGAACTAAGAACTATCACAAACCTCACCACTTTCCATTTCCATGTGCAAGGCACATTTCTTTTACCTTGCCTTCTCTATTATAAACTCCTAGCAACAGGTATACACATAAAATGACAGCCCATGCCCTGAGAATTTACAATCTATGTATAAGGTGAGAGAAAACAAATAGAGAGGGGAGCACAAGATAACAGTAAGATGATTGTGATCAATCATATAAGCGGTGGTCACAGCAAACCAGGTGCCTAATCATGGCATAGGTGGGTTTTAAAAGTGGTTGTGGCCTTGCAGATTTTTACAGGGCGCTTCCCCCCATGTATAAGAGTGAGTGTGGGAGAAAGCACGAAGGTGCTCATTGGGAAATTTGACAGATGGGCACTCCAGGCTGGCATCCTGGACATAGCAAAGGCAGGGGTGGTTGTTTCCATAGTGTGTTAGATAAGAGATTAAAGTAAGGGATGGAATATTGGTGAAGAGCCTTAAAATTGAAGACCAGTAGCTTGTGTTTGATGTACTATAAGGGGACACAATGGACGGTACAAAGAGGGGGGTGATGTGGCAAGTGAGAAAGATGATTTTTGCAGCAGCATTTTGTATGAATTTAAGATGGCATTAGATGAGAAAAGAAGAGGTTATAGTCAGGAAGCAAGATAATGAGGGCCTGGCAAAGAATTTTAGCTATGTGGATAGAAAGGAAATACTGGGTCTTACAGATGATGTGTAGGAAGAAGTGGTAAGATTTAGACACAGCCTGGATGCATTAGATCTAGAGGAAGGGACAAAATAAAGACTAAGCTGATATTACTGTCATGAGTGTCAGTGGTCACAGTGACTGAGAAAGGTCGAAGAACTTAGTGGGGAAAGATCAAGAGTCTAGTTTTGGTCATGCTGAGCTTGGTTGACAGCTGGGTATCCATGAAATGATGTCAGAAAGACAGGCTAATATTTTAATTTAGACAGAAGGAGACAGGTCCAGAATGGACAAGTAGATCTGTGAGTCGCTTGCATGGTTTTGAATAAGATCATCCTATACAATATTCTAAGTCAGAGCCCTGGAGCCAAACAGTCCCAGATTATGGGGAAGTTCAGATATGAATTTCACAGCTAGATTCTATAGTAATCTGATCCAAACCCTGAATCTCACACACATAAAAACCTCTGAACTTTGTGAAAGACCAAAATCCAAATTTAATGGTTCAAGCCTGTATGTAATTGTAACACCTTTATAATATTGTGAAAGAGTTCCTTGAGAAAATGCGTGAAAAAATATTGATTGAAACGTATTATTATTTTATTATGTATTATTTAATAATATATTAGAGTAATGCCCACTCCGGAGTTAGGCTCCAGACCCATGGTTCTGGGTACTGTTCAGAAACACATGAGAAGATATAGACTCTAGCTCAAAGAGCTTTACATCTAATTTGAGACAAGACACAACGAGTAGGTGTAACAAGTAGGACTGAAGGGGTTGGAGGGATAGTGGGTTAACAATAAGAAGTTAGGTTAGCTGTTCAATAGCTTGATAGTTCTAAATCATCTGAAAGATTTTTTAATAAATAAATCTGCTATTCCCAACTACTACACAGCCTAGTCATAATTGGTTGGCTGATTTCCTGTAGGCATCACATCAGAAATGTATTTTAAGAAGGGATTTTAAATTAGTTGAACAAAAGACTGAAAAATGTATTGTAGGGAACAAGTCTGTAATAGTTAGTATAGAGCATCAGAAGCCTGATCCAGAGCCCATTAAACTCAATGGGAATATTTCTATTGAATTCAGTGGCCTTTGAATTATGCCCCAGACTGAGAGTCAAGAGCCTGGACACTATTCTGAGCATTCACAGGGTATGTCTACACAGCAAGCTACAGCCCACAACAGTGAGTCTGAGAGCATGGGTCTATAGACTCAGGCTTGCAGGGTGCACATTATGGCACTAAAAATAACTGTGTAGCTGTTCAGACTCAGGTTGGTTTTTGAAGCCCAACCCCCTCACTAGGCTTCAGGACCCAAGCCCAAATGTCTACACAGATATTTTTAGCCCCGTAGTGTGAGCCCAAGTCTGTAGACCCAGGCTGTGAGACTTGCTGTCACAGTCTGCTGCTTGCTATTGAGACATACCCACCTTGACAAGTTGCATATCTGTGCCTGTTTCCTTATACTTACTAATTTTTGTAAAGAACTTTGAGATCTACAGATGAAAAGCACTTTATAAATGCAAAGTCTTCTTATTTATCACTTCCTCTAACTTTTATGATTCTGTGACATTTAAAGTAACATTTAAACTCATCATAACAAAGACATTCTTAGCAAAGCATGACAAAGCCGCTTTTGAATATAGTTTAGTTCTAGTCTGAAAAGTGACTTTGTAGAAACGGTACCTTCTTGAAGTTCTTACTCAATACATCTGTTCCATCTGCCTTCAGGTCATATCTGTTTACTGACAAAATAAATTTTACTACTGTTAGAATTGCAGAGCCAATATAGCAATGGTAGAGTGATCTGAAATCTCTTCTGGCTCACGAATCATCAACAAAATCATCACCTAAGTTTCAACTGCAGAATCTTTACTCTT